TGAAAATGAACTTAAATGGAATTTTTTTGCACATAAAACAACAACTTTATTTAAATTAAATGATACATAAAGTTACAGGCAAATGACTTTGTAGTATACTTACTTTGATAATATAAAAATTTATATATTCACAAACACATAGAACATACATTAGCATTCAATCTTTTAGTTTAGGAAGTCAAAGTCTTCTGGAATTTCAAAGTTTTTTTATTTTTTTATTATTTTTAATTTTATTTACAGAGACTTTGGATTTCCATTTATTCATTGTTGTACTTTTCTCCCCTCTCAACCCTCCCCTCCTCCCAGTACACTAACCTCTTGGAAAAGTAAAGGAAAAATTCTTTCGTTGTTTTACAAATCCTCCTCCCAGGTCCACTCCAATATGCAGCCTTCGTTCTGGACTCCTGTCATGACAATAATACCTAATAACATATCCCTTTTAAACCGTTTTCTTCCTCATCTGTTTCAATGCAGTATACATAATTTATCCCATCTTTCTCAGTCTCCCCCCAATTCTGAGGTCAGTCCTGTTTTACAACAGTGGCACTCTGTAGTATTTATCCTTTTGGGAATGGCATACTTCACTAAGCATAATGTCCTTGAGGGTCACCCATTTTGAATAATATTGCATGAGTTCCTTGTTTTTCAATGCAGCGTAGTATTCCATTGTGTGAATATACCACAGCTTCTCTATCCATTCGTTTGTTGATGGGCATTTAGGTTGTTTCCAACTCCTTGCTATTGTGAACAAAACCGCGATAAACATGGGTGTGCATATATCTGCTTGGATGTCAGTTATGGTCTCTGTGGGGGTATATTCCCAGTAGTGGAATTGCTGGGTCAAATGGTATGCCTATGTGCAGCTTTTTGAGAAAGTGCCACACCGCCTTCCATAGTGGTTGTAAATAGAATATTTTTCAAATGTCACTTACTGAAAGCTAGGCAATGAATAAGGATGACTAAAGAAGAATTGATGTCTTTGAATTGTGGTTTTTGCAACAAATACTGACTATCCTATGACTGTCAAAAGAACAATCTAATCGGTATGGGAAGAAGTGCAACCAGGGTGCTCTAAGGGTGGTGGAAGTTCATCTCAGGGCATGTTGTCATGACAGGCTAGTCCCTGGAAAAAGACTTCAAGCTGTAAAAAAGAGGGGGGCCGGGGGGGAAAGGCAAGAGGACCAAACAGACAGAAGAGTTCGGTCTGATGGACTGACACATGACCAGACAGGGCTGCAGTATATAAGAGACCATCAAGATACAGAGGGTTCAGTTCTACCTGTTCAGAAGGTCGACTAGATGACACATAACAACAATAATTTTCATATGGAACTCTGCTGCTCTGCTCCACAGGATGCTTTGCTGCTCACCAAAAGATAGCTGGACTTGGGAGGTTCATAGTCATGCTGGGGGAGAAAAATGGGTAGTCTCTATGTACATTAAGATTTACAGCTTCACAATTCTGAAAACCAAAAATGAAGTGGAAGGCATAGCCCTCCTTGACCTCAAAACCACAGTGGTAGTAACCAAAACAGCATGGTACTGGTACAATGACAGGTCCCCAAACCAATGGAACAGAATCAACAATTCAGAAATGGACCTATCTATCTACATTCAACTAATATTCAACAGGGAAACCAAACCTATCAAATGGAGAAATGACAACCTCTTCAACAAGTAGTGCTGGCAAAACTGGACTGCTACCTGCAGAAAGCTGAAACAGGATCCACATCTCACACCACAAACAAAAATAAACTCAGGGTGGATCAGAGACCTGGGAGTAAAGCCCCAAACCATAAAGTTTCTCAGAGACAAACTGGGATCAAACTTAGAAAGCCTATTCTATGGTATAAAGAGATTGACAAAGACAGCCAGGAATGCACAATCTGGACAGGATAAAATTGATGAATGGGACTTCCTAAAAACTAAATCCCTGTGCTCCTCAAAACCTTTTTCCAACAGAGTGAAAAGAAAAACTATCGACTGGGGAAAAAAACTGGGCAATATCATCTCAGACAAAAATGTACAGAATACTCCTGGGCCTCCAGAAGAAAGACTGATAACCCAATTACTAAATGGGCAAGAGACAAGGAAAGAATTTTCATAGAAGACAATATTTGAATGGCCAACAAGCACATGGAGAAATGCTCCAAATCACTGGCAATAAGAGAGATGAAAATAAAAACCACAATGAGATACCATCTCACTCCAGTAGCAGTGTCAATTTAAAATGGCTGCATTGTGAAACTGTGGTAGATGAAAACAATGATAGATGCAAACAATGGAATACTATACAGCACTCAGGAGCAAAGATTTCTAAAAATGCTACATAAGTTGGAAGAGGCTGGAGAGCATTATGCTGAGTGAACTAACTCAGTCTCATAAGGACAAATACTGCATAAGGCCATTCTTGTAAAAATAGAAGGATAACTAGTAAAACATGTATCAGGATCCAAGGAAGGAAGGGGGGAGTGAGGATTTGGTGGGTGCAGGGAGGGGATAAAGGAAGTGGGAAAGATCAGCAGGGACCTTAAAAGACAGGGTAATGGTGGACAAGGTCCAATGGTGATTAATTTCATAAAACACAATACATAGGACTGATTATATGAAACACAATATGAATTAAGAATAGTGTGAAACACTGTATACGAACTTTGTAAGCATATCAATATAAAAATAAAAACAAACATATTTACAGCTAAAGAAACTTCATGGACTTTGGAAATGACTAATTGCCATGACTTCGAGCTTCATTTTTAAAACGCGTTTGGCTGGAAAAGAAAACAAAAACAAATAACAAAAACAAAACACACAACAAAACACCAAACAGGCTGGAGAGAGGCATTTGCGACTTCCTTCTGGGATTTCCTTCTGTGTACATTTGTGTGAGAGCTCTGGAATGGGATTTCCTGGTTTCAAATCCGAACTCCACCTCTAAGTTTATTGACCTTGGGTACATCACATAAACCTCACTTCTCATCTATAAAAAAGAAAAATAGCATGAGATTTGCAGTGTCCACAGAGCAAAAAGCACACAAAGGTTTGCCCAGTGGCATGCAACTTTTGTTTTTACACTTGATGATCCTGGAGGCCTGAAGGTCCAGTTCCTACCTGCTCTTATATCCCACCCACTTCGTTCGCATTTCCCTCAACCTTGTGATGGACAAGACTTTCATCTGTTAATAGGGAAGGGGCACCTGGGCAGCCCCGGGAAGCCTGGGTGACCAGCACGCCGTACGCTTCACCTCTCAGGACAACGCCTCCCACGTCCATCACCAGCAGGCAGAAGGGGACGCGCGTTCGCATGCCTGGCTGTCCCCGCCCCTGCAGCCGCCTCTTCGTGACAGGTGCGTGAGAATTGTGGCTGGGGCGGTAGCAAGAAGCGCCCGAGCGATATGACTTTCCAGAAGTGGTGCACGCAAGGCACAGCTCCGCACGCAAGGGGGAGGAGACTGGAGAGCAAACTTTTCAACCCCAGTAAAGTTTGCTGGCGCGGAGATTTGCCCCCATCCCTCCGCCCCACAACTCTCACTCTGGGAATCCTCCGAGCGCCCTCCCTGCCAGTTCGCCCCAGCACAGCTCGGCTCTGGGCCTGGTGCCAACAGCCACCGGCGCAGTCAGGGCGGCCGCGCTTCTCCAATGGGCGGCGCCACCTGGAGTGGTTTGTCCAGTGGTCTAGGAATGCACATCACAGTCAGGACCCTAGGCCAGGGGAGCAGAGTCTTGCTAGGATCTCCTTGCACCTGGTAGAAGAACTTTGCGTGCTAAAATGGCCCTTTACTCCCAGGAACCAATTTGTTTGGAGTAAGCATTAAAAATACAGGAGGGAGGGGGATGTGTGGTGGGAAACAAGAGTCAAACCGCAACCACAAATTAGCTTTCCTCATTTCCTAACTCACAGGTTTCCTTTCCCAGGTCGGACTCCCAAGGATGCAAAGTAATTTGAAATCTCTGAAAGGAAAATAAAAGCGGAGCAGACAAGACGCTCCAAGTGTGAGGCGCAACTCAAAGGGCAGGTTTGGTCCTGTGAAGTATACCAATTACAGATACCCGGGATTAAGAGTGGCTTTGGGTAAAGGGGGGGGGGGGGAGAGTCACATCGATGCTTCTGGGGAAGCTGTCAACTACAGCGCAAAGCGCGAAGCCCAGTGTGGCGGCCACTTCCCGTGACCAGCGCGCGGACCCGGTCCACTGTGGTTGAGGCTCCGCCCCCCCACCCCTCACCCCCCTTCTGTACAGTCCTTAAATCTCAAGGAAGTGGGATGACGCCTTTGGACTCTGCAGAGTGACTGTGCGAACGTGCCACATCTTCTGTGAGAATCGCGCGGGGGTCGTGGACTGGGAACTGATTCTGCTCATGGACCTCTCACTCAACATTTCCCAACCTTGTGAGAAAACCCTGACTTAGTCAGGACTCCCAGTGCAGCAGGGGCCGCCAAAGGAGGCATCTTTTACTCTCTCGACCCTAACCCATGCGCTCTTGGCTCTGATGCAGCCTTGTGCCTCCTTCATGGGCGCTTAAAGCATCTCGAGAGGGCGCAGGTGTCTAAGGCGCTGCGGGTACCTGGAGACACTGCGGCTGACTCTGCAAAGGTCCTAGCCCCTTCTGAGCTAGCCAGCCCGCGCCGCTGGAAAATTCGCCTTGCTGCAGGTCAGTCTACCTTCTGATGGATGGGTCCTTGAGGGAACTGTAAAGACAGGCATTTTAGGGGGAACTTAGCATTTCTGCCTCCACGCCCGCAGCACTGTCTGTACGTGACTGCAGCAACTGTTGCAGGGCCACCGGCGGTGGAACCGAGTCGCAGAGAGCCCAGGGGGACATGCCCCTTACCCGCCACTCGGGAATGGGTGATGGAGGCGAAGGAACAGCTTCAGACTCTTGCCCAGACAGGGACCCTGCCCTCACCCCCTTCTGGTCCTCCAGTGGAGCGCGGCGCGTGGCAAACCCACTGTTTTCTCTGCACACTTTAATGTCACGCTTTCTCCCTTCTGTCCCCAGCATGAGCACCAGCCTCCGTCCAGAAGATCCCCGGCCCCTGAGCCTGGTGTCCACGCAGCAGACCACGCTGCTGCTGTTCCTCTTGGTGCTAGTCGCAGTGCACGTGGGCCAGTGGTTGCTGAGGCAGCGGCGGCGGCTGCCAGGGTCCACGCTACCGGGGCCCTTCCCATGGCCGCTGATCGGAAATGCGGCGATGATGGGCCAGGCGCCACACCTCTCCTTCGCGCGCCTGGCGCAGCGCTATGGCGATGTATTCCAGATCCACCTGGGCGGCTGCCCCATCGTGGTGCTGAACGGCGAGCGCGCTATCCACCAGGCTCTGGTGCAACAGGGCTCCGCCTTCGCCAGCCGGCCACCCTTCACCTCCTTCGGCGTGGTGTCCAACGGCCGCAGCCTGGCCTTCGGCAAATATTCGGAGGCCTGGAAGGCCCGGAGGCAGGCGGCCTTCAGCACCGTGCGCGCCTTCTCCACGCGCCAACCGCGCAGCCGCCGCGTCCTCGAGGGCCACGTGCTGGGCGAGGCGCGCGAGCTGGTGGCGCTGCTGGTTCGCGGGAGCGAGGGCGGCGCCTTTATAGACCCCAGGCCGCTGACTGTGGTGGCTATGGCCAATGTCATGAGCGCCGTGTGTTTCGGCTGCCGCTACAAGCACGGCGACGCCGAGTTCCTGCAGCTCCTCAGCCACAACGAGGAGTTCGGGCGCACGGTTGGGGCCGGCAGTCTGGTGGACGTGCTGCCCTGGTTGAAGCGCTTCCCCAACCCCGTCCGCACCACCTTCCGCCAGTTCGAGGAGCTCAACCGCAACTTCAGCAATTTCATCTTCGATAAGTTCCTCAGACACAGGGAAAGTCTGCGCCCGCGGGCTGCTCCCCGCGACATGATGGACGCTTTCATCCTTCTGGCAGGAAAGGAGATCCAAGGCTCCCGAGACGGTGGCGCGCGCCTGGAAGTGGAGTACGTGCCGGCTGTGGTCACTGACATCTTCGGCGCCAGTCAGGACACGCTGTCCACGGCGCTGCAGTGGCTGCTCATCCTCTTTACCAGGTAAAGCGCCCCGGAGGCGTGAGGAGTGCTGGCCCAAAGGCGAATGCGACCCCAACATTCTGCTGTCCAGCCAGCGCCCAGGGTTTGGCAATTTCACTCTCTGTCCTCACACTTCCAAACTGGGATCACTCTCCGTGTCCGCACAGTGCGCCCCAGAGGAGCTCACGCTCGGGAGTGCCAAGACTTCCCTGAGCCTCAGAATTGGTCTCTACTCTTCACGGGCTTTTCTTACCTCCCTACCCCATCCCCCGCTGCTTGTAAATTGAGACCAAGTTGAGAACAAATCCCTTAGAAAAGAGAAATTTGCAGAGCGCTAACAGTTCATTAAGCGCTATCTCCTTCCCTTCAAAGTGAGTTGGAAAAGTTCTGAACGAGAGAGTAAAGCAATAAATATGCTCCATAAACACTGCGGCTTAATGGGCTCGGCGAGTGGTCGGCATGGACCCCGGCTGCCCAGCGCTGATCCTCTGGGCCCTCGGGGGCCTGGCCCCACCGAGGGTTAGCCTGCACGGAAGCTCCAGGACGGCGGCCAGAAAGCAAAGGGCGGTGCTGGATTTCTAAAACCGCAGCTCATGGAATAAGAGTCATGTCAGGGTGAATAACTGAGACGCCCTTTTAGTGCAGAGCAGTTACTAGAAAGACAAGTAGGTGGAAGAACCCAGAGGAGTCTGTAGACCTAGTTGCCCCTGGGCGCCTGTGCACACACAAATTGAACAGGACCCCAAGGGCATGGCCGCCAGGTTTGGTAACTAAAATGTACATTTTGCATAGGACATCTTTAATGCGAGTCATTTTTCTGAAATTCAGTATAAACAAACGTTCCAGATATTATCTGACAACTCTACCTTTGCGACAAGACTTCCTTCTCCATGCAAAACATATCTGCTTCTCCTGACTGCGTTTGAGGGCCCTCAGTTCTCAGGGAAGCAGTGATTGTGCCTTTGAGCAGATCCCAGGTCTCTTGGCGACCCTTGTGACAGAATAGAAAACCCTCCTCTGCTTCCCTAGCTGTCCTCTTGACAGGAGCAAATAGACAGGTTGTTTTTTGGTTGTGTTTTTTCACCTCCTGAGCCAGATGACGAATGAATTGCAGTCACTCACTTTTGTGTCAGGACCTATTGTGCTACTAGTACTCCTGAAGCTACTGTCCAAAATGATTTGCTAAGAAAGAACATTCCTTTCCCAACGTGTGTTTTGTTAGGCACTGACTGATATTTAAATTCAAACTTTTAAAAAGTTTTTTTAACTGTTGTTGTTGGGCCACAGAAGGAGACTTCAGAGGGTCCTGCTTCATGCTAAAAATCATTACTCAGGATTAAAGTATCAGAAATAATAAGTGTGGTGGGAAGGAGGAATAGAAATCAAATAGCAGGTACCACTGCGAAGCAGCAAAAAAGAAGTTAAACAATGAGGAGCATGTTCAAGGAGAGCTGAAAAAGAGTCTTTTTTCTTTTTATGGAAAGACCTATGACAGCTGTAAGCAAATTTCACCACTTGCTTTGTGGTTTGGTGTTGGTTTTGGCTGTTGGGTTTTTGTTGTTGCTGTTGTTTGGTTGGTTGGTTGGTTTTGTTTGTTTGTTTTAACTTTTGGGATTTATTTTACCACTTCCACTGCTGCTGTCTTGCCACAGCCCAAGGTAGAGTTAAACAATTCCAACAGAGAAATCCACAAAACCAAAAATGTTCTCTCTCTGGCCCTTTGTGAAAACATTCACAGACCCTGAAATATGATCTTAAAGAAGCAATTTTTAAAAAAAATCTTCTTGATGTCCATCACATACATGCTTCCATTTTACCCTCCAGAGTTTCAACAATTAGGTACATTCCCCCCCTTTCCACTTTCTTTAGTAAGAAATTCTCAAATTTTTAACATCTATTTTAATAACTTGTGATGACTACATAAAATTTTTCCATAGTGATATGTCATATCTGTAATTATATATGTAATCACTTCTTTAAAATAGATCATTGTTCCAGTTTGCATGAAAATTTAACTCTTTTGGTTACATGTCTTTGTGCCTATGAAATTATAATTTTCAAATAATATTTTCAGCCATGGGCTATTTGGCTTTAAAAAAGGAATAGATTGGTTGGCCTAATGGATCTTACTTTGTGATAAGTTTTTGTTTTCCAAAATAATCTGCTAATTTATATAAGCAACTGTGAATGAGTTTTATAATCTCACCAACACTGGGAATTTGTATTTTCTGTTTGTTTGTTAAATTGTGGTGAAAATATGTCCAACAAAACATTTTCCAGGACAACAATTTCAACATGTATAATTCAATGACATGGCATGTTGTGCAAACATTACCACTATAGTTTCTTTAGGGCATTTGTTTTTCTATTTAGGCTATAATGTAACTACCTATGGACTGAGAACACAGCTGGCTTTGCATAAATGTGAGAACAGTCTCCGTGCTGGAACTGTTTATTTATCCATTCACTGACTCAGATAAAGAAAAGTGGAATTGTAATGCGTTGTTGTCTATTTTCTACATCAAAGAAGAGTATCTTTTCTCTCACCTGTTTGCTCTGTTAAAACCCCAACAGATATCCTGAAGTACAGGCCCGAGTGCAGGCCGAATTGGATCAAGTTGTGGGTAGAGAGCGTCTGCCCTGCATAGATGACCAGCCCAAGCTGCCCTACATAATGGCCTTTCTTTACGAAGCCATGCGCTTCTCCAGCTTTGTGCCCATCACTATTCCTCACGCCACCACCACTGATGCCTCTGTCCTGGGCTACCACATCCCCAAAGACACAGTGGTTTTTGTTAACCAGTGGTCCGTGAATCATGACCCAGCGAAATGGTCTAACCCAGAAGAGTTCAATCCATCCAGGTTCTTGGACAAAGACGGTTTCATTAATAAGAACCTGACCAACAACGTGATGATCTTTTCCGTGGGCAGGCGGCGGTGCATCGGGGAAGAGCTCTCCAAAGTGCAGCTGTTTCTCTTCATTTCCATTCTGGCTCACCAGTGCAATTTCAGGGCCAACCCGGACGAGCCCTCCAAAGTGGACTTCGTTTACGGTCTGACCATTAAACCTAAGCCGTTTAAAATCAACGTCACTCTCAGGGAGTCCATGGAGCTCCTTGATCAAGCCGTTGAAAAGTTACAGGCCAGTGAAGAGTGCCAGTGAGAAGCCAGAGGCAAGCAATGCACAGGTCTTGGGGAATAGAAATAAATGTCATCTTCTCCCCCCCACCCCACCCCCAGCTTCTGTATGCATTTTGCCTCTGTGGCGTGTATACATCAACTGACCTGCAGGTGAAGTGTAATTCACACATGACTTAGGCTGTGCATGAACAGCTGGATGATTTTTTAAATTTAAAACTTACAATAGATACAGATAATAGATGCTCAGTCCTGGCAAGCATTTCTTGAGAGAACATTCTTTGAAGTTACACACCACACACACATGCACACAGGCTCACATTACACACATCTTATGAAGGGGCAATGCTTTATTTACCAATTATTCTTGAATGGCATCGAAGATTTATCGTTGGTGCACTGAAGCTCCATAGAACATTGTATTATGCAAAGTATCCGCATATACTGTTGAATATGTAAAGGCATGCAATTTCAGCATTGTTACTGTGTACCATCCAGAACTGACCCATAGTTGATTCTCCATCGGGTTTTCAGAGGCAGTTTAATAGCGCAGGAGAAGTCGCCCATCTTTCTCCTTCCAAGCAGCTGGTAGATTCCAACTGCATGCCTTTGAGAGAGGATATGTAAGAGTGATGAGGGCGATGGTAGAAGATGAAAAATTAGCCTACTTTTCAATGAAATTGTTAAGATAAACAGAAGGATTTATTGATGGATTTACTATTTTTTTTAACCTACAGATGTGCTGCATTGCTTTTTACAACAAATCATAAAGTTAGTTACTCTAACACAAATTGATAGTATATAAATTTCTACGTTTTCTATGAGGGACCAAAGTGGGTTTTTTCCTCCTATTAAGATTTACAGCCTTGGAAATCTAATGGAGGGTTGGAGGAACGCTATGAGTTGAAATTAATTCCATGGCAGTGAGTGATTATGATTATAGTGGGTTCCAGTGGTTTATTGGGGTTTTACAAGGTATAGATAGTAGAACTGTAAAACCTCAAGCTGAAGCCATTCAGCTCTTAATTGCTATGAGACGAGTATTCCAAATTTGAGGGGGGGGGGAAATTGCCTACCAGTAAAGCTTTAAAATAAGTGGCTGTAGTACAATTTCAGCAAGTCTCGTAGGTATAAATGAAAAACACGTCACTAAGTAGTACTCAGTATGATACATATATTACATAAGTATTCACAAGCAGAATGTTAAGGTGATTTTGTTAGGAAAAAGTTGAATCATATATCTCTTATAATGTCATTGCAAATCAAAAAGTACAACATGTTAAAGCAATTTCACTTCAAATACATTACATAAGGTAAGTAAAATGCTATCTGTATATAATTTGCACATGGAGCCCTAGGATAGCGTCGTGTATAATGTATCAGACTGCTATCCACCAGTTGAATCCATCAGTTACTTCTTGGGAGAAAGATGGGTGATCTCTCCCAAAAAAACATTTACATCATCAGAAATCCTATGATTAAGAACTGACTTGGAGACTATAGCTTTTATAGTGTATTTCATTCTATTTAATACAATTCATTTAACGTGCGTTTAAGTTCTTTTAAATGTGGAAACCATGCTGCAGAAAAGTCTCTTCTCAATCAAAAAATTCTGATGAGAACAGACAAATCTTGAAGCTGGATTTGTAATTTTTTAAAAGTTATACTCATAGGACATACAGAGTCTCTCTTTGAAATATCACACAGTGATCATTAATTTTATATTGTAATTTTAAACCATTGGCATGTTTATGCTTTAACTAAATTAAAAACCCTCTGATCATAGAGTACTGAGTTGAAGTTAGTGGCAATCTGTTTGCTGAGGAAAGTGGGGAAATTTTTGCCTGCTCCACAGTGAAGAATGCAGGGAAGAATCTGGGTGTTCTTACTGACATATTAGGTAACATGATGAAGAAATGCAATTATAACTGACCTAGAAACCCAAAAAAAGAAAGGAAGGACTGTTTTATTTCTTTTCTCTCTTAGACTGATTAAAGAAAAAACGTTTATGTTTGTCTTTTGGCAAGTTTGAGGAGCGTCTTGGGAGGCTATTTTGTTGTGGTACATTGTTGCTGACGAGGTCATTTGTGATAAACTGTGAGAAATCACTTCGGTGGCTGTGAAAACATAAAATCGAACAAATTCTAACTGTTTAGTTTATGTAAATAGCCTGAAAACGTCTTTAAAAATTGATGGAAGATTGCAAATGTACAAAGTGAAGTTTGAAGTTTTAATACTCTTTGCATGTGAACTTCAAAAGAAAGCTGTATGTCATTCTAAAAGCTCATTGCATATTATTATATTTCTTAAGTGTGGAGAGCCTTTTAATCAAAATTACAGAATTGCTTGTTTAATGGTTATGTCTGGGAGAGGGGTGGTTGTAGGAGAAAGACAGAGAATGAATATGAAAAGAAGGAAAGATATTGAAACATTTCCTTCCCCTATTCCAAATGAATTCATTTGAAACACAGAATTTAAAACACGAATGTATTTGGTGTACCAGTATTAAATCACAAATAGATTTTTTTTCTAAGCTACAAGCATTCACAAACAGATTAATTTATAAATTTATCTTTACATTGATTTGTATGTAGAAGTCAGAGCTGTTAGGTACTAATGCCAGTCATATGTGTGCCTTCATACATAGGAAATGACATTCCTTTGTATCCCTAAAAACATGGAATGGAATGCATCCAGGTGTTCTTAAGACATCTTTAATATAATAATAGAGCAATAATAGTAATAATCTTTGATGCAGGTTGTGAGCCCTTCTTTGTTACTGGGCATTATTGTATGCATCTTGAAAGTTTAATAGGATTCATGGTACCTTTGGATGGTGTCAGTGGTTTGCATTTGACTAGGAAAGTTCTGGTAGCCTAATAGGTAAGGACGTGTGTGCCAACTGAGAGACCCATGGTTTGCATCCATTAGCTCCTCTGCGGGAGGAAAATGGGTAATCTCCCATGCAATTTACAGCCTCTGAAAACCTGCTGGAGGGCCAACTATGGAGTGAGTCAATTCTGACTTGACAGCAATGCATTTGAGTTGATGAGTAATAGAAAAATTGGCAGTCTGAACCCAGCTCAGAAGAGCTGTCCTGGCTGCTATTAAGATTACAGCCAAGGAGATGCTCTGGAGCGGTTCTACTTGGTAACACAGGAGGGCGCTGTGAGTTGAAATCAATTCGATAGCACAAATTAATGATAATGTAGCAGGTGTAGTTTGGAATTGGGAGTATGGGATTTTTTTTTTCAATTGGCAAGAACCATACTTAATTTTTAATCATTAAAATTTGTAAAGTTCTACCTTGAATATTAAAAAAAGGTGTCAGCATTGTTTCAGAGGCATTTAAGTTAACTCTAGAAATCAGGCTTACCCAATACATTTTTATTTTAGGGGACACGGGTTATGGCAAAAGGTTATATGTGCTCCAACAGGAGGGAACAGTGGACCTGGGCCTCCTTAGCCTGTCTACTCTGGCTTAGAGTCATAAAAATTCAAAATGCATTGCTATGAATTGGAACCAACCTGTAGCTGGCCCTCCAGTGGGTTTCTGAGGCTGTAAATCACACAAAAGGGAACCATCCATCTGTCTCTCTAGGAGCCACTGGTGGGTTCAAATGGCCAGGAAGGTAAACAGCGTAACTCCAGGAAAAAAACAAAACAAAACAAAACAAAACAACCCATCATCTGTCAAGCCTGGATAGTTCATTCAGTCAGCGAGGCCCAAGTGTGCATAGCATGCTTTTATGTACGTGAGCTTAGTCAGCATCTGGTGTTTGTGGCAGTGGGAAAGCCATCCTTACATACAAGAAAGTAAGGTAGATATTAATTGGTTGCCTGATAGATTTAATCCATGTATAGCTTCATTAAAGGAAAAAAACTAAAACAAAGAAGAATCTGAGCTTAGATGATACAATAACCAAATTATTGGCTCTTTAGAAAATGTCATTTGACTTTTGCCAGAGATGGAATGCAACTGTTGGTCACCAACTAAAGATGGAGCACCAGGTCCATGTTATTGCAGTAATTCAAGTATCATTGTTTATTATATGCCAGATGTGTATATTAAAGCTTTGGCTTTGTAAGAATATGGCTTCTTTCCAAACAAAGGCTATCTCAGGTTTGTTTTGTGAAGTATCTAAAAACTTTCATGTTCCAGAACTTAGCCTTTACCTGTGAACGATTATAGCCTTAGAGTTTCCGTGTTAGATCTATATTAGATCAGGTACTTGCATAGCAAATATATAAATGTGTGTATGGTTTTAGCTGTGACACAACAGTGTGGATACAAATGTACTCTTTCCAAGTTGTTTAATAAGACTCAAGGATGACTTGTTCCTGAAGCATTTCTTAATTAATTTTGTATTTGAGCACATATGCTTTTTAATGCACACATGACAATGTAGTACACAATGTCACTGAGATACATTTTGGAGACACACCATTAATATGTGGCTCTTACTGTTTAATATTCATTTTGTATCTGTAATTACTTATAACACGTTACCAAAATAATAAAAGGATGTTACCAAAATAATAAAAATCACTTATAATCTTGTGATGCGTCTATTCACTTTATTTTGCTCTATGCACTGCACTCTTTGTTGTTGTGGGCTGTTGAGTCAGAACCAACTCATCGCTGACTCTTCAGTAGGTTTGCAGAGGCAGTTTAATCACATGGGAGGAAATTTGCCCATCTTCCCTCCTCCCCCCAGCAGAGCCCCTGGGGGGTTCAAACCATTCACCTTTGGAATTGTAGTGCAGTGTTTTACCGCTAGGCCTCCAGAGCGCCTCACAAAACTTAAATTAAGATGTTGCATTTTAAACATTTTGCAGTGTGTCTGTATATTAAGTGCTTGGTTTTGCTTCCTTTTTCACAGCCCTCAAAGGGCCTCCAGCATCTACTTTCCTTCTAAGTTCCTAATCTCACTCTTATTTTTCAAATTATTGGTATTTTTACAACAATCCCAGGAGTTATATTTCAGTGGTAAACAGCCTAGCCAAATGAGAATTGGTTTGCAA